GCCGCTAAACGATCATCAGGATACGGTAGTCTAATTGGAATCTCTCCACAGAATACAATACGTTATAAAGTACGCTGTNGCGTCTCTTGGAAAACTCGGATTTAACCTCGATGTAGTCTAGAATTCCACGACTACATCTTGGTTAAATCAGTCGAGGTCTTTTAAATGCTGAAAGCCAAAGACAGTGATCATGTGACCTTCTTGGCATCAAGAGAATAGTGAAGTTGCTTACGTTATATAGGCCTACCTACCAGTAGACAAATTTAAAATCTCTCACACTCTTAAATAAGTAGCATAAACTTTTCACGTTTAACAATTATTATTTATAATTTTATTATACTAAGTCATATCATATGGGTATGGTTTGGAAACGGGATTTCGTTTACATTTAAGGCACACGTGCATACAAATTATTGGTAAATCTATAACTTTTTAACGAGGGTTGTGCTATTTACTGTTTGTTATTAAGCTATTCTTCCTCTTTATCAGATATATCGGTAAAAATCAAATATATTCCCCCTTTGAAATTGTAATTACATGTAGCACATGAATGCTTTGAAAACCAGCACATGTATATTTCGAAACCGCCTCGTAGTAAAAAAATGTCACCAAAATGTAGAATTATTACTCCTGTGGACTTGAAATAAACATCCCTTTGATTTTGACTATATTCCGTAACCGCCTCGTTGTCAGATATATCACCAAAAAGTAAATCTCTTTCTCCTTTGCACTTGTGAAAATTTATATTCCGGTCCGACGCTCTTTGTTTATCATAAATGTCACTAAAAGGTAGAGGTTTTGCCTTGGGACCTTTTTGCCTCAGCAGTCCCAGCTTGGTGTGGCTCAGCTGAGACGCGCATGGTCAGTGTCGACGGCTGATTAAATACTTTTCAAGCCAGTTGAACGTCCACGATATGTATTTGGCAAAAATTGACCAAATTGGTCAGACATTACATAAGAATTCGGCAGGAGGTGACCAGCGCCCTTGGACGAGTTTATTCCATATAACATCTCTAGAGCGTGATATAGGGTCACTTTATTCGACTGTGTTTGTTCTCGGTATGTATGTCAAATAAAACACTGTCACCCTTTCGCGATATATGCCATGAACACCTCTCGCTGACGCTCGAGGTGTATTATCTCACACATGGTCCAACTTAATTTCCTGCTGCAATTGCCCGTGTTGATTGCAATTAAGTGGACCACAAGTCAGCTGTGACGCTGACATTTTCTATTATGTTCACCTGTCAAAGTGACAGCAGCAGTGAGATTTTCTTGACAAGAAATAACAGAATGCCACTTTCTTCACAATTGGTTGCATGGCGACTGGACATCTTCAATAGCGATACCATCCTTTGCGCTCTACTGGACGGTACATTTGAGGTGGTCATTTTGTTATCACTTTACTCGAATACCAAGAGATGATTACACGCTTGACTATCGGAACAAATTCAACGAGACAAAGTGGATAATAACAGGGCCGCTAAACGATCATCAGGATACGGTAGTCTAATTGGAATCTCTCCACAGAATGCAATACGTTATAAAGTACGCTGTACTGAGCTTTACGCGAAGTAGAGCAGATAATCAGGGAATTCAACCCGCTTGGCAACAGATTTCGCTGTGGAGGCGGGATCATTTTCTTTAGTTCCCAATTAATTGCGATAAACACTGTCTCTCAATTTTTACCCAAATGTTTGTGGAGACAGAAATTAAAGTGGAGAGTAGAAATGACCAGATATACAGCGATAAGGTCACCGGCTGCATACAGCTTATCAAAATAAGAAACGTGGACTAGAATTACTGCAGCGGGCTGTGTGCATTCTAAAATCTACAATTATGTTTTAACTTTTTAATGTTTTTTCTTACTTTTTGTTTTCATGACCAGTGAAGTTTGTAGGCTGATAATACCGGGTGGACCAAAGAACTGGTGTATAACACCGTTAGCTGTGCCGGTTGTGTGGTGGTGGTGGTGGTGGTGGGGGTGGGGGGGGGGGTGGATAATACGACTTGACAAGGAATGACGCATGGTGCGGTCAATTGTTTTTTTTTTTTTTTTTTTTTTTTTTGTTGTATGTTTAACATAAAAACGTGCTTTAAAATACAATACAGGATTGTTCTCAAAAATTCTAAATAAGTAAGGAAAATAGTTAAGAAATCAATTCGCAGATTCGTCTCTCTCACAGCATTACATAAATATATTAGCCGACCTTGTGTGAAAGTTATTATTTTCAAAATTTAAATATCATTTCCCTTTTATAAGTGTTTGGACTATTATAAATATATAGCTAGAGATATTCCCATATCTACACTGCATCATCGAAGCAGAAAAGATATCAGAATTCACCACCTATTTTTGCAAGTACAACTGTAGAAATAATACTCCCAGGGGCGGATCGAGGATTATTTAAAGGGGGGGGGGGTCCGTTTCTAGGAATGACACGCTTCGGATACGAAGCCGACACTCCCCTCCACATGGCGTAGGGCTCGGGGTCAGTTAAACGGCCAATAAAAATTTTAGTATTTTACAGAGCGAACGGTGCCATTTTGTACGGTTTAGAACTAAAATTTAGCTAGTCAAAGTTCTAATTTCAAGAGGGGACCATTGGTGTGATTTATTCAGAAATCGAAGGGGGGGGGGGTCCGGACCCCCTGATAACCCCCTAAATCCACCTATGACTCATTTGTCACAAACTGAGAAATTATTCACATGAAATATTTCGATGGACCGTCGGCCATCTTGGTCAGTAGCTTAGTGACTGAAGTGAAGCTTGAAATGCGATGCAAGTACAGTGCACGTATACTGCCAGTAATACCCTCTTCGTACGGCGTCTGAGCGGAGGTAGACGGTGGCCGTGCAAAATCGCACGGAATCGTACGGATTTAAGGCCATGTAATGTAGACATACTCGGCGTAGCCCGTAGCTCCTTATGATTTCAAAAAAAAAAAAAAAAAAAAAAAAAATCGTACGGACAATTTCATCGCACGGCGCCCGTGGAAATATAATCTAGAGTTGAGTAATCTCATGGGAGGACTTGTTTAACTTGTAACAAGGGGATTTTTACTACTATCATAGTGATGAAACTTTTAACTCTTTTTACACGATTACCTAAAGTAAATGTTCTCCCTTCTTTTGGACTTACCTATTTTTCTGTTCTAGATCTATACGGCTATTTATGACAAATCTTCCAAGATGACGTACTTAGGTATTGTGCTAGGGAAGAGAAAACGCATTGCGAGAACGCATCAAGTAGAAATTCTTAGACATTGTGCTAGAGTAGGTAGAACGCACTGTGCGAACGCTTTAAGTAGCGCTACTAAGCCATTGCGCTAGATGAGATAAAAACGCATTGTGAGATGTCGCCTTAGAGCCAGAGCAAGAGAAACCTAGACTAGTGACATCTCCAATGCTGAAAAAATATATACCGACTGATTTTTTTTTTGTCATTAAACAATGCTTATAACTTTGTCCTGGCAAAAAGATTAATTGCAGCAGATGAACCTTTTCTTATATCTTATCTTGTAGTATCCACAGCATTTTGATTTTCATATGACTCCAAAGAAAATGACATCAATAGTTTATTCTATGAATTGTCAAGAAAACAAAAAATAATGTTAATGAATGATCTTGCCCTTTTATACATAGCCCCCATAAATAAATAATGATAAATAAATAAAAAATGCTGCTTTACTTAATCTTGCCTGTTCTCCACATTCCTGAAACTAAAATGCAAGACTTTTATTGTGTTCATAATGGCCATTTCTGCAAATAAACCAAAATAACCCAATGTAATAACCTAGTAATGTTAACAGAAGTTAGTTTCATTTCTTATATAGTAAATAAAAAAACTACATTTTATCCCGGCTGTAAAAACCTGTGGCAACGGTCCCGCCACCTAAGTTTTCTACAAATAAATTGAATGCTATCATTTAACAGAAGTAGACTCAAACTCCATGGTTTAACAATGCTCGTTTGATTACATTTTATTAATACAGATAATTTCTGTTTACAGGACGATAGTCTTGTCACCAAAGTTAACGACGACTGTGGATGGCAGATCTCTTGTAAAATTTGGGAAATTAACCTTCACAAGACATCAAAATTAATCAGCAGAGGGATATTTTTAATCATATTACATATTACAAGTTAGTCCCAATTTTACAAGTTGTTTGCATTCTACATGGTAATTTTTGGCAAATTCACTAATGATTATGCCCTATAACATAAAGTGGTGCATATTACTTCCATAAAAAATTATATATAATAAATATAATAATAATAATAATAACCCAAATCTATGTATGTCCTTATTTAATTGTCATGCAGACTAAAAGTCTAGTCTGTTGTTTCGTAGCTTTCTTAAATATCTCCACCAAACAGGAATAATGTGACATGTTGTAAGGAAGTGTACACTGAAATTTTACTATCATTTCTCAAGCACCATTCAGTTTCTATAAAGTCTTCCCACTGCTCTACGCAAGAGAGAAAACTACCTGTGCCTAAAACATTTTACTTACCTGCATGGCGATAGAGAATATTTGTTTAAAAAAAAAATAAATAAATAAAAAAAAAGGTCTGAGATTTATAAAACAGTTCTACACATTTGGAATTATTAGATTTGAAGGTAATGGACTTCAAATCAACATTGAGATTATGTTCAGAACCTGGTTGTACGTCTCTCATGGCGTCAACAGTGTTTTCAGCGATGAACAACTGTCAACCTCATTCTTAACAGACAAATTCTGAATACTCCTTCATTTAACACTTTTCAACTCAAACATATATTTCTACTCTGAATATCAAAGTTCCTTATTTTATTTTACTCTATGATGACTTCAAACTGGAAAAGTGAATTTAACTGAGGAGCAGGTGTCTTGTTAAGAAAAAAAATTGCTGTGTAGGACACTGTTATGTTATGTGTACCCTAGAATGCATCAGTACTATTGTGCTATGATCCCGTAACCATGGTTTGTTGCATGTCCTTTTTTCACTTTTTTTCTGTAAAATAAAATGCCACTGTGTAAGTCTACTCCTTGTCACTGTCTGTGACTTCCTCCTTGTCCACTACCTCAAAACCATTCTCTTTTCCTTCTGACCCAGACCCACTCTCCTCCTCCGGCTCCTCATTACTACCAGCGCCATCTATCTTTTTGGAGTCGGCTTCACTTTCTTCCTCCTTGTCTGAAGACTTCTCTTTCTTTTTCTTTTCAGTCTTTTTATCTGATTCTTTTTCTTTTGATTTGTCCTTCTGCTCTTTCTTTCCATCTGAATCTCCTGTTTTCACTGCTGGTCTGTATTCGTATGTGTATAAAGGTTTAAAAGAGTCAAAGAAGCCGACATCCTCGGTTAAGTTAGGCAAGATCCACAGATGATGGTGTCCAAAAGTCACCGCCCAGATTATCCCAAACAAGATGGCACGCACTGCAAGAAAAACAAGAATGATGTCAATTCCTTTAATTAAAAAATACAGAGTGACAAAGAGTGACTGAGTCTACAATATTTTTCACCAAGGCCCGTTGTGTTCTTTTGGTTAAATATATTTTTCTGACAAATCTTACTTGGAAAAAACTATTTTGAATCTTAATTAAAGTCATTTTTACAGGTCCTGCCATGGAGTTATAACAACAATTATAGAGAACTAGAGGATCAGAGAGGCGATACCGCCTCCGAATATTGTACCACCAGCTGGAGCAAGCGCATTTGTATAGACCCCCACATACACAAAATAAGGGACACAGCCACCAGTCTTTTGCTTGACAAGCTGTAAAAATGCAATCAACAAGAATTTTCAAAATATGCAAAAAATATATATATGACTTAAAATGGTACAATCAAAGTTAAGTTCATCAAAAGGTAGGTCAAAGGTCAATTTCACAGTAAGATTGCCAGTATATGACTTCCTATTCAAGTTCAATAGTAACAATGGACCTATCTCTGCCAGGTTAGGAGTTAAAAGAGAAAGAAATTAGCAGAGTTCAGTTCATGGTGAAAAGTAGGTCAAAGGTCAATTTTAAGGTCACATTTAGATTGCTAGTATATGACTTCCCATTCAACTTCAATAGTAACTATGGACCTATCTCTGCCAGTTTTGGAGATAAAAGGGACGCAAAATTTACAAAGTTCGGTTCATGGTGAAAAGTAGGTCAAAGGTCAATTTTAAGGTCACATGTAGATTGCCAGTATATGACTTCCTATTCAAGTTCAATAGTA